CAGGCTGTGAAAATTTCAAAGAAAAAGAGTAAATAGTTTCTGAGATATTAATGTTCTAGTTTAAAAGTATTAGAAAAATATTATTCTGAGAAAAACAGCTTTTAAAAAAAAAAAAAGTCATAAACTAAAAAAATCTCTAACAAAAAAATATCCAAACTGACCACAAAAATTTGATTAACCACCTTTAATATTTTGTTCTGTGTCAAAATAACCTTTTACTAAACTAACAAAAAAGTTGTGAAAATAGGGCAAACATATAAACAAGCATGGTTGCTAAAGCCGTTGCTAGGGATTCGAAAATTACCTTGTCGCCTTTAAATACTAATTTAAGTACTTTATATTAATTTTCAAAGGGAAAAAAAATTATACTCGTAATTCAGGATGTTCAAACTGTTGAAATTTGAAAAATTTTTTTGTTTTGTTTTTTAATAGTTTTAATAGGGTAGTACCACCTTAAAATACAGTTAAAAAATGTTTATTATTATGTTTTAAATGTTGATAATTTGCATTTTCTTCTTACGCCCACGTTTACGTGAAAAACTACTTTAGGGGTCGTCCATAAAGTAAGTACGTCAAAAATTCTGAAATTTTACACCTCTCCTCCCCCTGTTGCCATGCGTAATTTTAAGTCCCCACCTCCCCTTAGAAAGTACGTACGTTTTTCATATACTTCCTCTCCGCCTCCCCCCCTCCCCCTAATTGAAAAAAAAAGGTGGAGGAGATACCCTAGATACTTTAAAAGTATCTAGGGTACCTCCTCCTTAAATTTCAATAAATTTTTATATAAAAAAAAAAGGCGGGGAGTGAAAAATGTATAAAGTATTTATACAACTCCAATGCCCTTTGTAAGCGGCAAAGGATCCCAATTTAAAAAACACCATTAAATATATACAAATATAAATTTAAATAAAATTAAATCTTGCAATATAAACGTTTTCTTGTCCGAGTGGGTAATGTTGTAGGTTGTGACAGCGGAGACCCGAGTTTGATTCCCAGTAAAAATTTTATTTTACTTTTCTTTTTTTAATGAGATCCATCAAATAAAAATAAACTATACTTAAAGCAGACGTTTTTTTCAGGCACTCCTTTTTAATAAGTCCATAAAGAGCGAGTCAGGCGAGGAGAGTAATATTGAAAATAAAGCTTAAAACCCAGTTTGAGTGTAGGCTACCCATACCCCGTAATTAGAGGGTGTTGTGGGGGAGCAGCAAATTTTATGCCCTTTTGCAATATTACATTGTAAAACCTAGCGGTAAAATTTGGAAGATTTTGAGACCCTAATCACACGTTTTTTTTTTTGAGGGGTGGGGGTGTCCGATCTATAGCCATTGCACTGATAAAACTTGTTTTTTGTTGACTCAATAATAGGCAACCTATTTTTGCACATGCATGCACACATGTCATTCATTATATACTGGCCCTAAGTATACTCAGGGGCAGTATATAAGGGGTAGTATAGGCGCCTGCAGGATTTTTTGATGTTCTAGATAGGACTCTTTCACACATTGTGCAAACTCCAAACTTAAGTATGTTTAAACCTTTGCCAAATGAGGAGACCTTGTAAAAAATTGGGATGGCAGAGACCTGTCAACAAATAGTCCTGAAATAAATAAAAAAAAAAAAAAAAGAGCGTTTAAATGTTTTTATGGTTGCACCTTATTCGATTGGGCAAAGGTGATTGGCACTCGAGATAAGTCTCTCGCTGCATTCTATTTTTGTAATCCATATCTTTAGGGAACAAGCTTATTTAAAAAAATTTAGGTTAATTTTTTTTATTATTAAGATTTGATTATATTTAATTATATTTTATAACAAATTTAATTATATTTTTTTGCATATTTTTTTGAATTGAACTTGTTTCTAATAAAATATTTTATATTTAAATATTTTAAATAATGATATTTTTGAAAAGATTTTTAAAAACATCAAGATTATCAAGTTTTTTTTTAGTTTTTTAATTAACACATTTATTTTTTTAACTTTAAAATATCCGTTTATGTTTAAGTAGTTAAAATATTTAAGACAATGTGTTGAATATAACATATATTTTACATTAATTAAATTAAAATTTGAAAAAAGCAGATAGTAATATATTAGAATGTATTAAATTTAACAAAATACTTTATAATTATATATATATATATATATATATATATATATATATATATATATATATATATATATATATATATATATATATATATATTAATATATATGTATGTATGTATGTAATGTATAGGGTTACGATTAACCTTTTTTTAAAAAAAAATTAGTGCGACGCTAAATTAAATAAAAATTTGAAAAAAGCAGATAGTAATATATAAGAATGTATTAAATTTAAAAAAATACTTTATAATTATATATATATATATATATATATATATATATATATATATATATATATATATATATATATATATATATATATATATATATATATATATATATATATATATATTAATATATATGTATGTATGTATGTAATGTATAGGGTTACGATTAACCTTTTTTTAAAAAAAATTAGTGCGACGCTAAATTAAATATAAATTTGAAAAAAGCAGATAGTAATATATTAGAATGTATTAAATTTAACAAAATACTTTATAATTATATATATATATATATATATATATATATATATATATATATATATATATATATATATATATATATATATATATATATATATATATATATATATATATATATATATATATATTAATATATATGTATGTATGTATGTAATGTATAGGGTTACGATTAACCTTTTTTTTAAAAAAAATTAGTGCGACGCTAAATTAAATAAAAATTTGAAAAAAGCAGATAGTAATATATTAGAATGTATTAAATTTAACAAAATACTTTATAATTATATATATATATATATATATATATATATATATATATATATATATATATATATATATATATATATATATATATATATATATTAATATATATGTATGTATGTATGTAATGTATAGGGTTACGATTAACCTTTTTTTAAAAAAATTAGTGCGACGCTAAATTAAATAAAAATTTGAAAAAAGCAGATAGTAATATATTAGAATGTATTAAATTTAACAAAATACTTTATAATTATATATATATATATATATATATATATATATATATATATATATATATATATATATATATATATATATATATATATATATATATATATATATATATATATATATATATATATATATATATATATATATATATATATATATATATTAATATATATGTATGTATGTATGTAATGTATAGGGTTACGATTAACCTTTTTTTTAAAAAAAATTAGTGCGACGCTAAATTAAATAAAAATTTGAAAAAAGCAGATAGTAATATATTAGAATGTATTAAATTTAACAAAATACTTTATAATTATATATATATATATATATATATATATATATATATATATATATATATATATATATATATATATATATATATATATATATATATATATATATATATATATATATACATATATATATATATATATATATATATATATATATATATATATATATATATATATATATATATATATATATATATATATATATATATATATATATTAATATATATGTATGTATGTATGTAATGTATAGGGTTACGATTAACCTTTTTTTAAAAAAAAATTAGTGCGACGCTAAAAGTTTATTGCGTTTTTCTAAAGAAAAATGCGGACACTAGCAAACCAAGCAATATGCAGAAATAAACTTAGAAAATTTAAAAGAAACAAAAATTTATAAGAGTTCAGGTAGATATTAATTTATTAAAGTAAGAGATTGTCCATAAAGTACGTACGCTCGGATGGGTCTGCAAATGGATATATGAGATGAGGAAGAGGTAGACAAAAGTAGAGGATACACAAAGCAAGTTTAGCATTTTGCGGGGGAGGAGGGGGTAGAAATGATGGATATAAAAGCGTACGTATTTTATGTATAATGTGTAACATATATTTTGCGTTACTTAATTATTTACTTAATTAACAACAAAAAAGTTTCTGGGGATGTGTTGCAAGGTCTCAGAGCATATTCCTATGCACCGTGATAACGAGGTATTGAATGATTTGATAATTTGTTGTTGAGCTTGATTCCAATACTCTTTTATGGTCTGCTACAGATTAATAAAATATTAATTGATCCTTCCTTTGACTTTGAGATTTGAGACTTTTATTTTTATTATTCGATTGATACTTTTTTTTTATTAGGTTTTACTGTTTTTATATAGGGTAGAGCGAGGTTGGTTGTGGAATTTTTACTAATTCTAACAGATTTCATAAACGGCACGTCGAACTTAAATAATTTTAAAAAATTGTGTAAATTCGCTTATTTAATAGTTACTCGGTTAAGAACAAAAATTAGTAAAGAAAAAGTATATTTTTTTGGTTTGTTTAAGAAGTTATTGCTAAAAGTATACCGAGCCGTTAGGAGAAGAGAATATTTTATATAGTCATATAAAATAAAAATAATTGAAACAATTATTTCGAAACTTGAAGCCTGATTTGAAAATTACTAATTAGAATATATAAATATATATATATCGCAAAATTCTTTATTATCAAAGTTGTTTCTTTATAGTTTAGTTTAGTCTTGTTTATTTTTTGAAAGCTCCTTTGTTTTTGGCTTTTATATTTTAAAGCTCCTCAACTTACCCTTATTAAACAAAGTGACACATTATTTAGGTTTGAAAGAAAACAGTAAGTTGTAGGAATAAACGGCTAATTATAATCGAAAGTCTGATAAATTCATAAAGTATATCATGGAGTGGTGAAAATTTGTAAAATATTAACACTTAAGTGTTAATATTTTGCAAATTTGTAAAATATTAACACTTAATTGAAATGTAAAACTTATCTTTGTAAAACCTAGCTAAACAAAGATGAGTTTTACATTTCCGTTTCCGAAGACGTCAAAACATAACTATTTATGTCAGTTGTAACGTAATTATGCACTCATAGAATGCTCGTGTTAAAACTTAAAGACACATAGTCGTAAAGACAAAGACAACAATAACATTAATTTTGCTCTTATAATTTATTGCTATATTATTGTATTGAAATGCGACAAAGTAAAGTGTTTAGAAATTTAACTGGTGCATAAAGATTTTCTATTGATAATGGTAGGTAAAAAAAGTTTTATGTAAAAGATTATTATATTTTAATACATTTTAATAAACATCAAAAAATTAATAAAATTGTTTAAAGTTCTTTGTTTTATAGTTCTACCATTATCTTTGCTGTCATTGCTCTTTAGAAAAATTTAGTTTCGCTTTAGCTTTTAACTAGGACAACGGGAGTTTTGCTGTTATTTTTTTGACTAAACCATTGCTAAAATTAAAAGACTTGGTTCTTTTATCTGTAGGAATGATTTAGTCAAAAAAAAATATAGCCAATTTTCAAAGGCTTTTGTTAGATTGCATGGTTCCATTTCTTTTCTATTAATCTTGATACGCAATTGCATTGATAGTACTATATAATTGCATTCATAGTACTATCAATGCAATTGCGTATCAAGATTAATAGAAAAGAAATGGAACCATGCGATCCAACAAAAGCCTTTGAAAATTGGCTATATTTTTTTGACTAAATCATTCCTACAGATAAAAGATCCAAGTCTTTTAATTTTAGCAATAATTTAGTCAAAAAAAAAAAGAAAATAATGAACGTGTAGACCATTGCTAGTTTAAAATCATTTCCGCCACTGTCAAGGGCAGAAATGTTTATAAATATCAAAGCATATAGGTTTATTTTTACTAAATGGTTTTTATTTTTTCCATAGTGCATTCGGGTGACGCGGAAAAAGGCATCATTGCAATGGAAAGTATTAAGACAGGACAAAGTAAAACGCCTACGGTAATAAATTACGTAATTTATTACCGTACGCGTTTTAATTTGTCTTGTCTTAATATTTTCCATTGCAATGAAGCCTTTTTCCGCGTCAGCCGAATACACTGTGGAAAAAATAAAAACCATTCAGATAAAATAAATCTATATGCCTTGATATTTATAAATATTTCTGCCTTGACAGTGGCGGAAATGATTTTAAACTAGCAATGGTCTACGTATTCATTATTTTCTTTAAGAATATCCGATAGGATATTTTCAATATTTGCAAGTTTATATTCAAGTTGTTACATATACATATTTCATTTTAATTTTAACATATACATATTTCAAATTAATAAGGGCTTCAATTTTAATGTTTTACACGTTCTTATTTCTTTTTATTGTTTTCAGTCATGAAAAATCTGGCCATACAACCATGTTTAGCAAACTGTCTGCTTCTGCAAACGGATCGCGTACATTTGAGCATTGTTTTGAAGTAAGCTTTTTTTTTTTTTAATTGTAGTATTTAATTCAGAATTAAATTTAATTTCAGAATTTAATGACAAGTATTTTATTTTAGCTTTTATTTTATAATTTTATTCGGAACTAAAACAAAATTTAGAATTAGAACGTTGGTTTTGCCGTTGCGTTCTTAAATCACAGAAGGGTATTGCCGGCATTTAATTCTGAGATTAATTGCCCACAGTATAATTTAAAATATAAAGTTAAAACTATTCGCCACCTAATGCTTGCGTAGCTTATAGTAACATCACACGCTGGCGACCTGAGTTCGAAACAGAGTTGCATTTTTTATTTTTTCGTGAAAATTTATGTTTTATTTCAAACAGTACTAGTTTTTATTAGTGTTACCCATCATTAGTGTTTGTTAATTTTTGTTTATTGATAATTGCCATTTATTAGATTTAAGTTTAATAGGTGCCTCAAAGTGTACATACAACAACTGATATAGCCGTAGGCTAAACAGTGTATGCTTACGACTGATTTAGGTATAAGCGCAGCAAAGTCTAAATTTAAAGACTGACTTGAAAAGGGATGGGCAAAGTAAAATGTACATACCACCGACTGACTTTGATAGGGTTAGACCTGTACATAGATTGACTGAGGGTTTTGGTTTGGGCAGCAGTATATAATTAAAAAAAAAGTCTTTATTATTTTAATACTGGCGTAAAAAAAGTTATAAAAGTAAATTAATTATAATAAAATAAATAAATACATAATTTAAATTGTTTTTCTAACAACAAAACTAAGAAACTAACCAAATCACAAGATTGTAGCCTGTTTTTGGCCTAAAATCGGTGATTTTAGGCCAAAAACAGGCTACAATCTTGGCAAAGATATCTCAAAAAATATAACTTATTAAGTTCTAATTTTTTGTATTTTTATTTGCTTTATGTAGATAAATGTCTTGAGATAAATTTTTGTTGAAAATTTCTTTATTTTAAAGCACCGTTAGATTTTTCAAAGCGCCCAATTAATAATCTAATTTCTGATATTAAGAACAAAAAGTTTGTTGTTTTAAAAATTTATATTCTAAATTTTTATCATCTCAGGACATAAATCTTATTATAATGAATCTCTGTACAAAATTTTAGGTCAGTTGGACAATTACATCTTTGCCAGAAAATTAGAAGAATAAAACAGAGAAAAAAGCATATAAAATTAAAAATATTGAATATACAAACTTATTAAAATCCCCTTTTTTTATATACTGCTCTTCTTAACTTTTGTACTTTTTATCAAACCCTTTCCTAGTTGCTTTAAAATTTTTTCTTTGTTTTTTAATTTTTTTTTTATTACTAACCTTAACTAGCGGTCGCTATGAGCGTTGCTAGGGGAAACAAAATTACCTACTTATATAAATCACTTTTGTTAGTTCTAAATTTTTTTTCTCATACGAAGATCTATATATTTTAAGACTCTACATCAGTTACTGTTTAAAACAATGCCACTTTTGAAAAATCGTTTTTTTCTAACTTTTTTAGCAGTCTACCACCTTAATAAATCCAAATTATTTCTTTACACGCGCAGCCGGCAATTAATCTCAAAATTATTTGCCAGCACTGCCGACAATTACCATTAGCCTTATTAAATTAATATATCCATAATTTAAATAAAACTTTTGTTTTGTGTTTTTATTTTAACAATTTTAGTTCAAATCTAAACCATACCTTTGGTTTTTAAATAATTTTATTCAGACCTGAAATAAAAAGTTTGTTTTTCCTTTCATATTTAAATTGCTTTATTTAGAATTTAAATAAATTGTTTAACTTGACATTTTTAATTATTTTATTTAGATTTTTAAATAGATCGTTCGTTTGTAATTGCTCTTTTCTTTAAAGAACATTGAACACTTTGTTTTGTGGAATACATTTTTAAAATGTTTAGATATATATATATATATATATATATATATATATATATATATATATATATATATATATATATATATATATATATATATATATATATATATATATATATATATATATATATATATATATATATGAATGTTGCTAAAGTGGCGGTAAATACCGCCACGCTAAGCTTTAAAATTTGCTAGAGTGGCGGTAAGATTCGTGACGCAAAATACCGCCACCTAAAGTTGATATTTTGCTAAAGTGACGGTCGGCCGCTTACAAATAGGCCTGCACGTCTCATCAGCAACAATCACACCTGGTTTATTTATTGTTACTATTCTATTTTCATTTTTTACTTATTTCGTTTGATTATTGGTAATTTTAAAAGGTATCAACTTTCGAATAGGTTGGAAACAGGTTGATCTAATTCCTTCTTTGGATAAACTTGCAAACGAGCATCTCATATTTTTCCATCAGTCCCTCTCTTAAAATCCAAATTTTTTTCCATACGCCATTGACTTCTAGAGATTTTGGTAAAATTTTGTATAAGAACAACATTTACTACTATCTTTTTGTTCGGTATATAAAGTTCTATTAAGCGTATAAATGTTTAAGTTCATTAATATAAGTACATGCAAATCCAAAAACTAAATGTTGTAGTTTTTATAAATATTGTTCTTTTTGAAATATCTTCAGGTAGTAAATGAATTCCATTAAATTTATTAGTACATGCAAATCCAAAAACTAAATGTTGTAGTTTTTATAAATATTGTTCTTTTTGAAATATCTTCAGGTAGTAAATGAATTCCATTAAATTTATTAGTACATGCAAATCCAAAAACTAAATATTGTAGTTTTTATAAATTTTGTTCTTTTTGAAATATTTTCAGGTAGTATATGAATTCCATTAAATTTATTATAAATATTTCGTCCAAACACCAAATGGTATGATGTTAACGCTTACTCAGTATTGTTCTCGTGTATGTAGAATAGTGAATGACTGTTTGTCACGGATTCCATTTCACATAGTATCGTTTCTAGTTCTTTGTAAGATAAATAATCTTTTCTAATTGTTTTCTTCATTGTAATTAACAGACCTAGCTAAGCACTTGTGAAAACCGCAAAACCAGGGAGAAAATGATAAAATAATCTTCTGTTGCACGCCATTTTTACATAAAATTTCAACTTCTTTATATATAAAGTCTTTAAAATTATTGGAAATAATATGATCAGAAAAACCTCTTCCTGCTGAAAAACGCTTATAAAGGCCGGAAATAATGAAGACTGGAAATTATAAAGGCCGGAAATGATAAAACGCTTATGAAGGCCAGAATATGTCAGGTGTTAGTTGCTTGACTAGGCGCGCATGTCAATAGCAAAACATAGACCTTGCAGGCAGTGTCCTTATTAACTGTTTTTATAAATAGAGGTCCTGCATAATCCAAACCAATTGATTGAAATGAATATGAATTATTAACTCAAAAGTCGGGCAAATGAGCTGCTAGGTGGTAACAATGTTCTTCCTTTGAATTTCTTGCATGTTACATATTGTCTAATAATACTTTTTATTGCTAATCTTCCTTTAATTTCGAGAATTGGAAACGTACTTCATTCAACGTAGATTTGATTCCATGATGTAAAACTTGTCAATTTGATTCCATTATGTAAAACCAACCTTCTTTGTCACCTAAGAGTCCTTTGCTGTAATGTTTAAGTTTCAAAGAAAAACTCTTCCAAATTTTTTTTTTAATCATAGTAGTTTATCTTCATCATAAAATAACTTTAATGAATTTTTAAGTTAGTTAAATTTTTTTTGTCGTTTCGTAAAATTCTCTGCGTGTTTGTTTAATTGTAGCTTTTTAATTGTAATTAACGAATTAGTAGTAAATCAAATACATATCCAATATTAATGATGAATTTTTTGAATGAACTATATATACATGCACCGTTAACACTACTCAAATTTGGTGGTAAGTTCAAAAACAACTACATTCTCTCTTCTTTCACACACAGACTTAGTATCAACCTGAAACATGCTTTAAATTCATTGACTTTTTTATTCATTATTAACGAAAATTCTTCTAATGGCATTCACTCTATTCTCCACCCATGATTTCCAGTCTCTTCTTACACTTAATTCAATGCCACCTCTGAGTCATACCAGCAACTAACATTATTATATTGCACTCCTCCACTTAAACCTTCTTCACACTTCCTCTACAATACTGCTATGTAACACACAACCTAATAGCTCTAGTTTAATAGCTCTAATTTATTTTTAATAGCTCTTATTTACCTTAAAACTTGTTTAGTCAACTGCATATATTTTGATGGACAAAAAAACAACAACTTCAAACTGTGGCATAATCCATGCAACTAAAGACGCTTACTACTCTCCTTAAACTCACAAACACAAACCTTGAAATTCTAACAAAACTTAATACTACTTTCATTACTTAATTCATTACATGTCTTAATACTACTCTGATTAACTCTCACAAACACAAATCCTGAATTTATATCAAAAGTAAATAACTCAGGGTCTAGAAGTTCCATCTAAGCTGACTCTATTACTTTAGCTATTTACTTATCCTGTTCACGCAGCTTTTTTCTTTTATCCTAGGTGATAAAAGAAAGAAAGAAGCTGCGCTCTATAGAATATTTATTTTAGTAGTGTAGAGTATTCTTGCATTTTAAACCAAAACTTTGAAAAATGCAAGAATGCTGTTAACAATGATATATAACAATAACAAAGTTTTTACATTTACAAATACTACAATCAAGACAGTCCAGACAAAACAGAAATAAAATAAGATAAAGCAGTATATGATATATCACTTTTATAGGAATGTATGTCTCTCTCTCTCTCTCTCTCTCTCTCTCTCTCTCTCTCTCTCTCTCTCTCTCTCTTCAACATAACATTCAACATTAGTTATGTTGAATGTAAGCAACAAAGTTATCATGTTGTTTTCATTTTTTTTAAATTAACTCATTTGTTTTTTTAATTTTAAAATACCCGCTTATGTTTAAATAGTTAAAATATTATCAATAGATTTTAACAAAAAAACTATACATTTAAATATATATATATATATATATATATATATATATATATATATCGATATATATATATATATATATATATATACATATATATATATATATAAATATATATATAAATATATATATATATATATATATATATATATAAAATATATATATATATATATATATATATATATATATATATATATATATATATATATATATATATATATATATATATATATATATATATATATATATATATAAAATTATCAAGGCGGATCATTGGCAAAAGTTGCTTATTTGACTGAGGTTGAAAACAAGCAACCTGTATTGTTGTTTGGTTGTTGGTTTTGGTTGTTGAAAACAAGTAGCCAAAAATTGTATAACAAATGTTATAAACAATGTAAAATGTTTTCAATACCCATTCATTATATGTTCAATTTAAGTTAGTTTTCAATACCTATTCATTATATTTTCGATTTAAGGTGTACAAATTAAGTTGATCATCAAAAGGGCGACTCATAGTGACCATTTGGTTATTTGATCATTTGCTGACTATTTGAACTTTTTTAAAAATTTTCACATTAAGTAAATTTCTCATACATTCCTGTCTTTTTTCATTTTTTGACTATGTGTAAACTAAAAGTATTTTGCTTAAATGAAAGTAATAATTAACTATTGATTAAGTTCACTTTTTTACTTTCAGAAAAAGCACAAGTTAATATATACGTCAATAGGTTTTGCATTTGAATTGAGCTCTAATTTTGTCAAAAAAAATATGTGCTTTTTTTTGACAACCACAAAGTATTTGAATGTATATTGATTTTAACTAAACACTATATACTTATATAAATTTTACAAAACTATATTTTACAAAACACCTATAATCACAAAAATAGAATGCATCCAAAAACTGATCTGGATTATTAAAAAAAACTTTAACAGTCAACTTGCCCAAGCGAATACGCACTCAAAACATCTTCTTAAACTCTACTCCTCTTTCTCTAGCATCTTATTGACCACATTGACTTTAAATTTAAATTTTTGCAAACTTTATATGAAAAACAATGTTTTTCAGATTAAGTTTTTTAAATATATATATATATATATATATATATATATATATATATATATATATATATATATATATATTTAAATATATATATATATATATATGTATATATTTATATATATATTTATTTATATATATATATATATATATATATATATATATATATATATATATATATATACATTTATATATATATAAATATATACATATATATATTTATATATATTTAATTTGTCTATGTGGTGGCGAAGGTGATGTTTTAGAAGGCTTTATAGCTCTTTTTAGTTGTTGGACTGATATTGCTAAGTCTATTGATTCCCTTGTTTTTTAACCTAATAGTGGATGTCTTTTGACTTAGACATAAAGTAGCCTTATATTAAAACATTATGGTCATGCAAATAATTTTTTTCCAAAAATACATAATGGACTCAAAGGAATGTTTGCTGAGGAATAGTATATTATGAACTGTTTAAACAATTTATATTGAAAAAAAACAAAGGGTGCATTTGTATACAATCAAGAACATCTTTTTTTTTTCCTTTCTGCTTGTGTGCGTGTGCAAGTTTTGTTTAACCATTGCAGCTTTTTTTTAATAAAATAATTTTTATGCAGTTAATTAAAAATTAAGAACTGTATGTATACAATATGTATACAATATGTATACAATAAATAATAATTCAATTTAAAACAAAGTGTTACTGCACCATTAAACAATGGATTTTTAAATTTTTTTAATCAGTTAATTAAGATATATTTTGAATGACACAGATTCAGTGATATTTTTTTTTATTGGTTGTTGCTGCAGTTGTTGAATATTCAGTATTATTATTTTTGTTATTTTTTTCTGGATAAAGAGCACGTAAGTGATATTTAACACTTTAATGTGTCATTTAAAACATAAAAACATGTATTTTATGTATTTAAATAAAAAATATTAATTTATAAAAGTATAAATTTTTTAAATAAGTTATATTATTTTGAAAATTCTTTGTGTAATTGTTTTTACCCATTTTTAAAGTCTATTTTGTAAGAGTTTGTCTTTTTTTCTTCTAAATTTTGTTTATTAGTCAAAAAATAATAGAAATTAACTTGTTAATTGGTATTTTTAATTTAATTAAGTAAAGTGGTTAGTTATTATGTAATTTATCAAAACTTTGTTTTGTAAATTATTTATTAGCTGAAGTTATTATAAAAAAAAATTGTCAATAATTTTATTAATTTTATTATAATTTTTAGTTTGGAAAATTTGAATTAGATAGAATTCGGTTCAAGGTTGAACCATGTCCTTTACTGGTTAATTGCTCTGAGTATAAACCTGATTTGATTGATTTGGGTAGCAAAGAAATCGGAAGAGCATATTGGATACATGTCTTTGAAGAAGGGATAGATTCTGTATGTATGCTTTAACACAAAAAAGTATAAGTAATATTACTTTTCATGAATTCAAAAAACTTAGCAAGAGTAAATATTACTTATTATTATTAAATAAACATTATTAAGGTTCGTTAATTCACTGATTTTATAGAATTAATTGTTTTACTCTAAGTGCTTTTGTTTTTGTATTCTCTCACTAAAAAATAATACAAACACTTATAGATTGTTTTTTTAATAAAGTTTGTTCTTTGTGTAATTGTTTTTACCCATTTTTAAAGTCTATTTTGTAAGAGTTTGTCTTTTTTTCTTCTAAATTTTGTTTATTAGTCAAAAAATAATAGAAATTAACTTGTTAATTGGTATTTTTAATTTAATTAAGTAAAGTGGTTAGTTATTATGTAATTTATCAAAACTTTGTTTTGTAAATTATTTATTAGCTGAGGTTATTATAAAAAAAAATTGTCAATAATTTTATTATAATTTTTAGTTTGGAAAATTTGAATTAGATAGAATTCGGTTCAAGGTTGAACCATGTCCTTTACTGGTTAATTGCTCTGAGTATAAACATGATTTGATTGATTTGGGTAGCAAAGAAATCGGAAGAGCATATTGGATACATGTCTTTGAAGAAGGGATAGATTCTGTATGTATGCTTTAACACAAAAAAGTATAAGTAATATTACTTTTCATGAATTCAAAAAACTTAGCAAGAGTAAATATTACTTATTATTATTAAATAAACATTATTAAGGTTCGTTAATTCACTGATTTTATAGAATTAATTGTTTTACTCTAAGTGCTTTTGTTTTTGTATTCTCTCACTAAAAAATAATACAAACACTTATAGATTGTTTTTTTAATAAAGTTTGTTCTTTGTGTAATTGTTTTTACCCATTTTTAAAGTCTATTTTGTAAGAGTTTGTCTTTTTTTCTTCTAAATTTTGTTTATTAGTCAAAAAATAATAGAAATTAACTTGTTAATTGGTATTTTTAATTTAATTAAGTAAAGTGGTTAGTTATTATGTAATTTATCAAAACTTTGTTTTGTAAATTATTTATTAGCTGAAGTTATTATAAAAAAAAATTGTCAATAATTTTATTAATTTTATTATAATTTTTAGTTTGGAAAATTTGAATTAGATAGAATTCGGTTCAAGGTTGAACCATGTCCTTTACTGGTTAATTGCTCTGAGTATAAACATGATTTGATTGATTTGGGTAGCAAAGAAATCGGAAGAGCATATTGGATACATGTCTTTGAAGAAGGGATAGATTCTGTATGTATGCTCTAACACAAAAAAGTATAAGTAATATTACTTTTCATGAATTCAAAAAACTTAGCAAGAGTAAATATTACTTATTATTATTAAATAAACATTATTAAGGTTCGTTAATTCACTGATTTTATAGAATTAATTGTTTTACTCTAAGTGCTTTTGTTTTTGTATTCTCTCACTAAAAAATAATACAAACACTTATAGATTGTTTTTTTAATAAAGTTTGTTCTTTGTGTAATTGTTTTCACCCATTTTTAAAGTCTATTTTGTAAGAGTTTGTCTTTTTTTCTTCTAAATTTTGTTTATTAGTCAAAAAATAATAGAAATTAACTTGTTAATTGGTATTTTTAATTTAATTAAGTAAAGTGGTTAGTTATTATGTAATTTATCAAAACTTTGTTTTGTAAATTATTTATTAGCTGAAGTTATTATAAAAAAAAATTGTCAATAATTTTATTAATTTTATTATAATTTTTAGTTTGGAAAATTTGAATTAGATAGAATTCGGTTCAAGGTTGAACCATGTCCTTTACTGGTTAATTGCTCTGAGTATAAACATGATTTGATTGATTTGGGTAGCAAAGAAATCGGAAGAGCATATTGGATACATGTCTTTGAAGAAGGGATAGATTCTGTATGTATGCTTTAACACAAAAAAGTATAAGTAATATTACTTTTCATGAATTCAAAAAACTTAGCAAGAGTAAATATTACTTATTATTATTAAATAAACATTATTAAGGTTCGTTAATTCACTGATTTTATAGAATTAATTGTTTTACTCTAAGTGCTTTTGTTTTTGTATTCTCTCACTAAAAAATAATACAAACACTTATAGATTGTTTTTTTAATAAAGTTTGTTCTTTGTGTAATTGTTTTTACCCATTTTTAAAGTCTATTTTGTAAGAGTTTGTCTTTTTTTCTTCTAAATTTTGTTTATTAGTCAAAAAATAATAGAAATTAACTTGTTAATTGGTATTTTTAATTTAATTAAGTAAAGTGGTTAGTTATTATGTAATTTATCAAAACTTTGTTTTGTAAATTATTTATTAGCTGAAGTTATTATAAAAAAAAATTGTCAATAATTTTATTATAATTTTTAGTTTGGAAAATTTGAATTAGATAGAATTCGGTTCAAGGTTGAACCATGTCCTTTACTGGTTAATTGCTCTGAGTATAAACATGATTTGATTGATTTGGGTAGCAAAGAAATCGGAAGAGCATATTGGATACATGTCTTTGAAGAAGGGGTAGATTCTGTATGTATGCTTTAACACAAAAAAGTATAAGTAATATTACTTTTCATGAATTCAAAAAACTTAGCAAGAGTAAATATTACTTATTATTATTAAATAAACATTATTAAGGTTCGTTAATTCACTGATTTTATAGAATTAATTGTTTTACTCTAAGTGCTTTTGTTTTTGTATTCTCTCACTAAAAAATAATACAAACACTTATAGATTGTTTTTTTAATAAAGTTTGTTCTTTGTGTAATTGTTTTTACCCATTTTTAAAGTCTATTTTGTAAGAGTTTGTCTTTTTTTCTTCTAAATTTTGTTTATTAGTCAAAAAATAATAGAAATTAACTTGTTAATTGGTATTTTTAATTTAATTAAGTAAAGTGGTTAGTTATTATGTAATTTATCAAAGCTTTGTTTTGTAAATTATTTATTAGCTGAAGTTATTATAAAAAAAAATTGTCAATAATTTTATTATAATTTTTAGTTTGGAAAATTTGAATTAGATAGAATTCGGTTCAAGGTTGAACCATGTCCTTTACTGGTTAATTGCTCTGAGTATAAACATGATTTGATTGATTTGGGTAGCAAAGAAATCGGAAGAGCATATTGGATACATGTCTTTGAAGAAGGGATAGATTCTGTATGTATGCTTTAACACAAAAAAGTATAAGTAATATTACTTTTCATGAATTCAAAAAACTTAGCAAGAGTAAATATTACTTATTATTATTAAATAAACATTATTAAGGTTTGTTAATTCACTGATTTTATAGAATTAATTGTTTTACTCTAAGTGCTTTTGTTTTTGTATTCTCTCACTAAAAAATAATACAAACACTTATAGATTGTTTTTTTAATAAAGTTTGTTCTTTGTGTAATTGTTTTTACCCATTTTTAAAGTCTATTTTGTAAGAGTTTGTCTTTTTTTCTTCTAAATTTTGTTTATTAGTCAAAAAATAATAGAAATTAACTTGTTAATTGGTATTTTTAATTTAATTAAGTAAAGTGGTTAGTTATTATGTAATTTATCAAAACTTTGTTTTGTAAATTATTTATTAGCTGAAGTTATTATAAAAAAAAATTGTCAATAATTTTATTATAATTTTTAGTTTGGAAAATTTGAATTAGATAGAATTCGGTTCAAGGTTGAACCATGTCCTTTACTGGTTAATTGCTCTGAGTATAAACATGATTTGATTGATTTGGGTAGCAAAGAAATCGGAAGAGCATATTGGATACATGTCTTTGAAGAAGGGATAGATTCTGTATGTATGCTTTAACACAAAAAAGTATAAGTAATATTACTTTTCATGAATTCAAAAAACTTAGCAAGAGTAAATATTACTTATTATTATTAAATAAACATTATTAAGGTTCGTTAATTCACTGATTTTATAGAATTAATTGTTTTACTCTAAGTGCTTTTGTTTTTGTATTCTCTCACTAAAAAATAATACAAACACTTATAGATTGTTTTTTTAATAAAGTTTGTTCTTTGTGTAATTGTTTTTACCCATTTTTAAAGTCTATTTTGTAAGAGTTTGTCTTTTTTTCTTCTAAATTTTGTTTATTAGTCAAAAAATAATAGAAATTAACTTGTTAATTGGTATTTTTAATTTAATTAAGTAAAGTGGTTAGTTATTATGTAATTTATCAAAACTTTGTTTTGTAAATTATTTATTAGCTGAAGTTATTATAAAAAAAAATTGTCAATAATTTTATTAATTTTATTATAATTTTTAGTTTGGAAAATTTGAATTAGATAGAATTCGGTTCAAGGTTGAACCATGTCCTTTACTGGTTAATTGCTCTGAGTATAAACATGATTTGATTGATTTGGGTAGCAAAGAAATCGGAAGAGCATATTGGATACATGTCTTTGAAGAAGGGATAGATTCTGTATGTATGCTTTAACACAAAAAAGTATAAGTAATATTACTTTTCATGAATTCAAAAAACTTAGCAAGAGTAAATATTACTTATTATTATTAAATAAACATTATTAAGGTTCGTTAATTCACTGATTTTATAGAATTAATTGTTTTACTCTAAGTGCTTTTGTTTTTGTATTCTCTCACTAAAAAATAATACAAACACTTATAGATTGTTTTTTTAATAAAGTTTGTTCTTTGTGTAATTGTTTTTACCCATTTTTAAAGTCTATTTTGTAAGAGTTTGTCTTTTTTTCTTCTAAATTTTGTTTATTAGTCAAAAAATAATAGAAATTAACTTGTTAATTGGTATTTTTAATTTAATTAAGTAAAGTGGTTAGTTATTATGTAATTTATCAAAACTTTGTTTTGTAAATTATTTATTAGCTGAAGTTATTATAAAAAAAAATTGTCAATAATTTTATTATAATTTTTAGTTTGGAAAATTTGAATTAGATAGAATTCGGTTCAAGGTTGAACCATGTCCTTTACTGGTTAATTGCTCTGAGTATAAACATGATTTGATTGATTTGGGTAGCAAAGAAATCGGAAGAGCATATTGGATACATGTCTTTGAAGAAGGGATAGATTCTGTATGTATGCTTTAACACAAAAAAGTATAAGTAATATTACTTTTCATGAATTCAAAAAACTTAGCAAGAGTAAATATTACTTATTATTATTAAATAAACATTATTAAGGTTCGTTAATTCACTGATTTTATAGAATTAATTGTTTTACTCTAAGTGCTTTTGTTTTTGTATTCTCTCACTAAAAAATAATACAAACACTTATAGATTGTTTTTTTAATAAAGTTTGTTCTTTGTGTAATTGTTTTTACCCATTTTTAAAGTCTATTTTGTAAGAGTTTGTCTTTTTTTCTTCTAAATTTTGTTTATTAGTCAAAAAATAATAGAAATTAACTTGTTAATTGGTATTTTTAATTTAATTAAGTAAAGTGGTTAGTTATTATGTACTTTATCAAAACTTTGTTTTGTAAATTATTTATTAGCTGAAGTTATTATAAAAAAAAATTGTCAATAATTTTATTAATTTTATTATAATTTTTAGTTTGGAAAATTTGAATTAGATAGAATTCGGTTCAAGGTTGAACCATGTCCTTTACTGGTTAATTGCTCTGAGTATAAACATGATTTGATTGATTTGGGTAGCAAAGAAATCGGAAGAGCATATTGGATACATGTCTTTGAAGAAGGGATAGATTCTGTATGTATGCTCTAACACAAAAAAGTATAAGTAATATTACTTTTCATGAATTCAAAAAACTTAGCAAGAGTAAATATTACTTATTATTATTAAATAAACATTATTAAGGTTCGTTAATTCACTGATTTTATAGAATTAATTGTTTTACTCTAAGTGCTTTTGTTTTTGTATTCTCTCACTAAAAAATAATACAAACACTTATAGATTGTTTTTTTAATAAAGTTTGTTCTTTGTGTAATTGTTTTTACCCATTTTTAAAGTCTATTTTGTAAGAGTTTGTCTTTTTTTCTTCTAAATTTTGTTTATTAGTCAAAAAATAATAGAAATTAACTTGTTAATTGGTATTTTTAATTTAATTAAGTAAAGTGGTTAGTTATTATGTAATTTATCAAAACTTTGTTTTGTAAATTATTTATTAGCTGAAGTTATTATAAAAAAAAATTGTCAATAATTTTATTAATTTTATTATAATTTTTAGTTTGGAAAATTTGAATTAGATAGAATTCGGTTCAAGGTTGAACCATGTCCTTTACTGGTTAATTGCTCTGAGTATAAACATGATTTGATTGATTTGGGTAGCAAAGAAATCGGAAGAGCATATTGGATACATGTCTTTGAAGAAGGGATAGATTCTGTATGTATGCTTTAACACAAAAAAGTATAAGTAATATTACTTTTCATGAATTCAAAAAACTTAGCAAGAGTAAATATTACTTATTATTATTAAATAAACATTATTAAGGTTCGTTAATTCACTGATTTTATAGAATTAATTGTTTTACTCTAAGTGCTTTTGTTTTTGTATTCTCTCACTAAAAAATAATACAAACACTTATAGATTGTTTTTTTAATAAAGTTTGTTCTTTGTGTAATTGTTTTTACCCATTTTTAAAGTCTATTTTGTAAGAGTTTGTCTTTTTTTCTTCTAAATTTTGTTTATTAGTCAAAAAATAATAGAAATTAACTTGTTAATTGGTATTTTTAATTTAATTAAGTAAAGTGGTTAGTTATTATGTAATTTATCAAAGCTTTGTTTTGTAAATTATTTATTAGCTGAAGTTATTATAAAAAAAAATTGTCAATAATTTTATTATAATTTTTAGTTTGGAAAATTTGAATTAGATAGAATTCGGTTCAAGGTTGAACCATGTCCTTTACTGGTTAATTGCTCTGAGTATAAACATGATTTGATTGATTTGGGTAGCAAAGAAATCGGAAGAGCATATTGGATACATGTCTTTGAAGAAGGGATAGATTCTGTATGTATGCTTTAACACAAAAAAGTATAAGTAATATTACTTTTCATGAATTCAAAAAACTTAGCAAGAGTAAATATTACTTATTATTATTAAATAAACATTATTAAGGTTCGTTAATTCACTGATTTTATAGAATTAATTGTTTTACTCTAAGTGCTTTTGTTTTTGTATTCTCTCACTAAAAAATAATACAAACACTTATAGATTGTTTTTTTAATAAAGTTTGTTCTTTGTGTAATTGTTTTTACCCATTTTTAAAGTCTATTTTGTAAGAGTTTGTCTTTTTTTCTTCTAAATTTTGTTTATTAGTCAAAAAATAATAGAAATTAACTTGTTAATTGGTATTTTTAATTTAATTAAGTAAAGTGGTTAGTTATTATGTAATTTATCAAAACTTTGTTTTGTAAATTATTTATTAGCTGAAGTTATTATAAAAAAAAATTGTCAATAATTTTATTAATTTTATTATAATTTTTAGTTTGGAAAATTTGAATTAGATAGAATTCGGTTCAAGGTTGAACCATGTCCTTTACTGGTTAATTGCTCTGAGTATAAACATGATTTGATTGATTTGGGTAGCAAAGAAATCGGAAGAGCATATTGGATACATGTCTTTGAAGAAGGGATAGATTCTGTATGTATGCTTTAACACAAAAAAGTATAAGTAATATTACTTTTCATGAATTCAAAAAACTTAGCAAGAGTAAATATTACTTATTATTATTAAATAAACATTATTAAGGTTCGTTAATTCACTGATTTTATAGAATTAATTGTTTTACTCTAAGTGCTTTTGTTTTTGTATTCTCTCACTAAAAAATAATACAAACACTTATAGATTGTTTTTTTAATAAAGTTTGTTCTTTGTGTAATTGTTTTTACCCATTTTTAAAGTCTATTTTGTAAGAGTTTGTCTTTTTTTCTTCTAAATTTTGTTTATTAGTCAAAAAATAATAGAAATTAACTTGTTAATTGGTATTTTTAATTTAATTAAGTAAAGTGGTTAGTTATTATGTAATTTATCAAAACTTTGTTTTGTAAATTATTTATTAGCTGAAGTTATTATAAAAAAAAATTGTCAATAATTTTATTATAATTTTTAGTTTGGAAAATTTGAATTAGATAGAATTCGGTTCAAGGTTGAACCATGTCCTTTACTGGTTAATTGCTCTGAGTATAAACATGATTTGATTGATTTGGGTAGCAAAGAAATCGGAAGAGCATATTGGATACATGTCTTTGAAGAAGGGATAGATTCTGTATGTATGCTTTAACACAAAAAAGTATAAGTAATATTACTTTTCATGAATTCAAAAAACTTAGCAAGAGTAAATATTACTTATTATTATTAAATAAACATTATTAAGGTTCGTTAATTCACTGATTTTATAGAATTAATTGTTTTACTCTAAGTGCTTTTGTTTTTGTATTCTCTCACTAAAAAATAATACAAACACTTATAGATTGTTTTTTTAATAAAGTTTGTTCTTTGTGTAATTGTTTTTACCCATTTTTAAAGTCTATTTTGTAAGAGTTTGTCTTTTTTTCTTCTAAATTTTGTTTATTAGTCAAAAAATAATAGAAATTAACTTGTTAATTGGTATTTTTAATTTAATTAAGTAAAGTGGTTAGTTATTATGTAATTTATCAAAACTTTGTTTTGTAAATTATTTATTAGCTGAAGTTATTATAAAAAAAAATTGTCAATAATTTTATTAATTTTATTATAATTTTTAGTTTGGAAAATTTGAATTAGATAGAATTCGGTTCAAGGTTGAACCATGTCCTTTACTGGTTAATTGCTCTGAGTATAAACATGATTTGATTGATTTGGGTAGCAAAGAAATCGGAAGAGCATATTGGATACATGTCTTTGAAGAAGGGATAGATTCTGTATGTATGCTTTAACACAAAAAAGTATAAGTAATATTACTTTTCATGAATTCAAAAAACTTAGCAAGAGTAAATATTACTTATTATTATTAAATAAACATTATTAAGGTTCGTTAATTCACTGATTTTATAGAATTAATTGTTTTACTCTAAGTGCTTTTGTTTTTGTATTCTCTCACTAAAAAATAATACAAACACTTATAGATTGTTTTTTTAATAAAGTTTGTTCTTTGTGTAATTGTTTTTACCCATTTTTAAAGTCTATTTTGTAAGAGTTTGTCTTTTTTTCTTCTAAATTTTGTTTATTAGTCAAAAAATAATAGAAATTAACTTGTTAATTGGTATTTTTAATTTAATTAAGTAAAGTGGTTAGTTATTATGTAATTTATCAAAACTTTGTTTTGTAAATTATTTATTAGCTGAAGTTATTATAAAAAAAAATTGTCAATAATTTTATTATAATTTTTAGTTTGGAAAATTTGAATTAGATAGAATTCGGTTCAAGGTTGAACCATGTCCTTTACTGGTTAATTGCTCTGAGTATAAACATGATTTGATTGATTTGGGTAGCAAAGAAATCGGAAGAGCATATTGGATACATGTCTTTGAAGAAGGGATAGATTCTGTATGTATGCTTTAACACAAAAAAGTATAAGTAATATTACTTTTCATGAATTCAAAAAACTTAGCAAGAGTAAATATTACTTATTATTATTAAATAAACATTATTAAGGTTCGTTAATTCACTGATTTTATAGAATTAATTGTTTTACTCTAAGTGCTTTTGTTTTTGTATTCTCTCACTAAAAAATAATACAAACACTTATAGATTGTTTTTTTAATAAAGTTTGTTCTTTGTGTAATTGTTTTTACCCATTTTTGTTTTTACCCAGCCGACGGCGACTTGCTGTCTTCAGCAATGAGGGTTCAAAGCAAATATACGAGTGCTCTTATGTTAATAAGCAGACAAAATAAGGTTTCCCATTCAAAAGTTCATTCTGTTTTATCTTCACCTTACTTGGTTTTCGTAAAACTTTAATTGAAAAGACAGAGTTTAAAAATATAATGCTTTAGTTTAAACGCAAAAAACAATACACAACTTGGATGTGGAGCATTTTAAGAGAAAATAATTTTTTTTTTTTTATACAGAAAGCGAGAATGTTTTAAAACAAGTTAAAAAACATTACTAGTACATCGAGGAATAGATGAATTACAAAGTAATAAAAGAGGAATTGTAGAAATGGTTGATTTAGTATTAGTTAACGAAGCCCACGGCGGCTTGCATTCTGCAGCATGGAGGATTCAAAGTCATATACGAGTGCTCTTACGTTATTAAGCAGAAAAATTGATGTTTGGCATCTAAAAGGTTATTCTGTTTCATTATTACTCGACGAAGGTTTTGCTATAGTTTGGGACGAAGTGATAGAATATAAAAATATAATGCTACAAAAAACATGTTTTAATTTAATTGCAAACAACAATAAAATGCTTGGATGTGGAGAATTTTGAGAGAATATGTTTTTTCTTAATTTACAATAATCGAACGGTTCTCAAACAAGTTAAAAAACATAAAGGTTTTGAAATAGCTTCATTCTGAAATGACAGAGTTTAAAATATAAAAAAAATTTTCTATGCATACAACGATACAAAGCTTGAATGTGGAGAATTTTGAGAGAAGTTATTTTATATATTATATATATATATATATATATATATATATATATATATATATATATATATATATATATATATATATATATATATATATATATATATATATATATATATATATATATATATATATATGTATATATATATATATATATATATATATATATATATATATATATATATATATATATATATATATATATATATATATATATATAAGCATTAAAATATCATTTACGGTATCATACTATTTATTTCTTTTCTCTATAAGTGATATTTCGGCTCATATAGTAAGAGCCATTATCAAACTAATAAAACGGTTAAAAAACATTTTAAAACGTTTTGGGAGAACCCAAAAACGCTTTCTATTATTTCAAACAACTACACCAGAAAAATTCGTGAGGCTATTGAAATACAACGTGTACAATGTTCAAAACCTAAAGAAAACGTTTTAAATCGCGACATGGCAATTTGGTGATAACTCACCATTGGAAACCATATTTTGTAAAATTAAAAAATGTTAAAATCTGACATTGCAATGACATATTTGTTTACGTTTATTATAATTTTTTAAACGAGTTTTTTAACGGTTTTATTAGTTTGATAACACAGGCCAACAAAAAATTTTTTTTTATCTTGTGCCGATCAAACAATTAGTCTTTTTTTATAGTATTTCTCATTTTGATTTCAAATATGCAACTCATTTTTCACCATCACGTCAAGTTGTAAAGATATTTGGGTTCAAATCATTAGTATTTAAGGTAAAGTAATATTGTTGAAAAAAAGTTATTCAAAAGTATTCCAACCTGGGTCTCAAAAAAAGCGTATTTTCATAGAGATTTCAAAGATGTTATTCGTTTTTAGTTAAAGTAAGTACTTTTTGTATAATTGCTGAAAAACCTTTTGTTAAAATTTTTTAAAATTTTTTACTCCAAATAATTTTTGTTAAAAATTTTTACTCCAAATACTAATGATTTAAACCCAAATATCTTTACAACTTAAGGTGATGGTGAAAAATGAGTTGCATATTTGAAATTAATATGAGAAATACTATAAAAAAAACTAATTGTTTGATCGGCACCAGAAAAAAAAATTTTTTTTGTTGGCCTGTGTAATGGCTTTTACTATATAAGCCGAAATATCCGATGTTTTAATGCTTATAATTACACATACTATTAAAGATGTCACTTAAATTTCATAAATATATATATATATATATATATATATATATATATATATATATATATATATATATATATATATATATGTATATATATATATATATATATATATATATATATATATATATATATATATATATATATATATATGTATATATATATATATATATATATATATATATATATATATATATATATATATATATATATATATTTATATATATATATATATTTATGAAGTTTAAAGGTATGTTTACTTAGGAATATTATTTTATGAACTTTTTAAACAATTTATTTATTATTAACAAAAAGTGCATTTGTATTCAAACAAGAATATCATTTCTTTTTTTTCTATTGTGCTTCTGTGTGTGCAAGTTTTATTTTACCAACGCAGCGTTTTTTTAATAAAATGAATTTGATGCAAATGAATTAAAATTAAGAAATAGTTGTTTTGTAAAATTTTAGTGAACTTGAAATTATAAAGCATAGGGTATAAACATGTTTATTAGATTTAATTTCTGTACATAATAAACCTAGTTTTTGCTCTTAAACAAATTTTTGGTTTTTATTTATTAAAAAATTTTTTCTGGTCTTTTATTAATTATTTGCAAGTGTTATGTAATTTTTTATATATATAACTGTTATTTATATATTTAAAATAACACTGTTTCATGTTTTAAAGTGATTTTATTTTTGTTAACTTATGTGTGCATTATATTATTTTATAAAATTAGTTAAAGTGAACAGTAAAATAGCTTTTTCAAAAGTTATGGAAATGTAACACTTGTATAAAAAGAAAATAATGATGAAATTAAAAACTTAATGTCATTATTTTGTGTCAATAATGAAAGTGTATGTGTTTGTGGTGGCGAAGGTGATGTTTAAGTAGGGTTTATAGCTCTTTTTAGTTGTTGGGCTGATTTTGCTAACTCTATTGATGCGCTTTTATTTTTGAGCTTATATTTGATGTCTTTTGACTAAGACATAAAGTAGACTTGTATTAAAACCTTATGGTCCGTTAATAATTACAATTAAATTTTTTCAAAAAATACATAATGGATTCAAGGGTATGTTTTCTGAGGAGTAGTATTTTATGAACTGTTGAAACAATTTAATTTGAAAGACAACAAAAAGTGCATTTGTATACAATCAAGAAGTTCTCTTTTTTTTTCCCATTTGTGCTTGTGTGTGTGTGCAAGTTTTATTTTAACAAAACAGCTTTTTTTTAATAAAATGATTTTTCTTGCGAGTTAGTAAAATTTAAGATTTTATTTTTTCGTAAACTTTTGGTTAACTTAAAAATATAATTCATAAAGTGTAACATATTTATTAGATTTAGTATTTGTAAACAATAAACTTGCATTTTGGCTCTTAGACATTTTTTTAAAATCTTTTATTTGTATTTCGTTTTTGAAAAAAAATTTTGTTTTTTATTATTTGAAAATGATTTGGTCCTTTATTAATTATTTGCAACTGTTATATAAATATTTTTTTTATATAACAGTTATAGAAGTATTTAAAATAACACTGTTTCAAGTTTTAACATTTATTTTTTAAACTTGAAACAGGTCTGATTTTGCTTAATCTAATGATGCACTTTTTTTTTGAGCTTTTAGTGGATATCTTTTGACAACTCAAGCACAAAGTGGAAAAAATGAGATGTTCTTGATTGTTTACAAATGCACATTTTTTTTATTTTTCAAATTAAATTGTTTACACAGTTCAAAAAAATTATTTGTAATTATTGATCAACCATAATATTCAAATACATGGCAAATTAATGTCTTGTGTGTGCAAGTTTTGTTTTATTAATGCATTTAAAAAAAAAAAATGATTTTTTTGCAATTAAGTAAAAATTAAGAAATAGTTGTTTTTGTAAAGTTTTAGTTAACTGGAAAATATAAATTATAAAGTATAAACATAAATATTAGATTTAATACCTTTGAACAATGAACTTGCATTTTGGCTCTTTGTAAATGGACACCTTTTATATTTCCCAAAGAAAGTGAATCATTTGATTTAGCTAAATATATTATTTTATAAAATTCTTTTTATTGCATTATCTATTCTTAAATAATATACAATAATAGTATATTAAACAATATATTTTTTTGTCAAATAGGTTACAAATACAAATAAATGTTATTCTTAAATACTAGATGCAAAAGTTTTGATTTTTTTTTTTTTCTTTAATAATTTTAGGAAAAAAATTTAAATTGTTTTGTTTTTCAGATATTTATTTGGTATTGTTTTTAACGATAAAAACTAAATGATAAGCAAAAAATTGTTGGTTTCTTTATTAAAATTTTTAAGAAATCCTTATTACCTTAACACACTTTCCTCCCTGGTAAGAAATACACTGGCATATAACAATATAAAGTTTTGAATGTTGTTTATACCTCTCATACTTGGTGGTGTAAACTCTCTCATACTTATTTAGCATACGTGCCCAAACCATGTTTATTATGTTGGACCTACAAATAAATTTAGAAACTAATTAAACTTTCTAGCTTACATTTAGTTATTATTGAAAGCCATCATACAAATGAAATAATCCTAAAAGGTGAAGAACTGAAAACTGATCTTAGTGAAAGCACATTAAGACAGAAATTTTGGGGAAGTACTTATTTTTTATTTTGTTTTTGTCTGCAATGGTCAAACTTTTTGTAGTTTTGGTCTATGGATCCAAATCTATGATCAAATCTAATATATTGGAATGTATATTGATTTTAACAAAAAACTATATACTCAATTATATATATATATATATATATATATATATATATATATATATATATATATATATATATATATATATATATATATATATATATATATATATATATATATATATATATATATATATATATATATATATATGTATATATATATATAAATTTGGAAAATTTATTTATATATATATATGTATATATATATATATATATATATATATATATATATATATATATATATATATATATATAAAAATGGAAAAGAATAC